ATGAATTCAACTTAGAGTTATTAAGGAAGACTTCAAAAAAGGTGTCAAGAGAGCAAAGGAAGGCAAAGATGTCCTTCAAGGATAAAAATATGCATTTCTTCTAAGACACCATCCATGGCTCCCCGCTATGTTTTTAAAAAAAATTCAGATTTCAGGACAATTCCGTCCTTGAAGGACTCTGCACTAGCTGTTTCCTCCTCTCAGGTATGCTCTCCCTAGAACTTTCTACCTTCTCATGAGGTTGGGGATTAAAGTTTCCTCCTTAAAGCCAGCTTCTCTTATCCCCCAGACCAAACCAGTTACCCACATAGGCACAATCCTATCACCTGATTGCAATTCAGTGTATTGTAACTAACTCGCCTTCACATGTTATATAAAATCCTCTCTCTCCATTCAAGCTTTTTCAGAGCAGGGACCTTGCTTGTCTAATTCATTGCTGTGGCCAGGTGCCTTGAACACATAGTAGGTGTTCAACAAATATTTGAGTGCAGTGGATAAATGAGCAACACAATGTTTATTGAATGAGGATGCGAAAATGAGCCAAATGTTTTAGAATCAACAAGTCACTCGCTGTGGGTGTGGGACAAGGATATATCTGGGTGGGAAATGAGGTTGGAAGGGTCGGGGGAGCAGTTGGGGCAGACAGGGTAGCTCCATTTATGTCTTAAGCAACAGAGGCAAAGGATCTTTTTAAATAGGGAGTGCCATGATTGGATCATGACTCAAAAAGCTACTCTGATCATGCAGTAGGAGCACTGGAAACCCGCCAGGGTGGTGGTGGAAGTTGGGTGGGGAGGCTGCACACTATTTTAATCCGACCAAAAGCTGATGGCAGACAAACTTAGAGCAACATCGGAGGGGTAGAAATGGAAAGTGCAGAAAGAGACATTTCTGAAGCAAACTGCTGGTATCTGAGGATCCAGGGCTTTGAGGGCGAAGGTGAAGGCTGACAAGGAACCCATATGGGAAGCAGCAGAAACAACTATGTTAGTTTTGGTTATGTTGGGTCTGAGGTGCCTGGGAACATCTTTCTCTGAATCTCTAGGAATTGTGCCACTGTTCCTCCTACCCTTTTCTCTTTTCTTTCCTGTTTTGAGTCACTCCCACAAGCCATGAATGCTCCTTGCTTCTCAGCCTGCTGGGGCACTGCCAGCAAGCCCCACATTCTGATGAAGGGACCAGGTTCAGACCTAGAGGACTGACTGTGGCCACCCAAGTGGGGTGGGTGTGGGAGAGTGGTGGGGGGGTGTCTCCCTGACAGGAAGGAAGGCTGGCTGGCCTGCTGGCTGGGCACAGACAGCAGCTTCCTCTCTGCAGCAGGTGCCCAAGGCCAGCTGCCTCAGCCCCTCAGGCTCTGATCAACAGGATGGGACAGCCTAGGCGGAAGGAAGCCTGCAGGGAGGAACACCCTGCAGACAGAAGCAGGAGCATGGGATGAGGGAGACAGGAAGAGCTGCCTGGTCACTGAGCTGGCGCCCCGCCAGCAGATTCAGGCAAGGCAATGATAGGGAGCCTTTCAGGCCTCTTCCCCTCCCGCCATAACCAAGTCTGCTCCCCGCCCCCCCCCCCGCCCCCTTAATCGTATTATCACTACCATTGTTGTCGGCTAGCCTGACCAGAAGAAACCATCGATGTTCATAGATTTTGCAGTTTCCAAAAAAAAATCAACTTCCTTTCTGTGCTCATTCTGTAGTTTCGGGAAAGGACACTTGCATTATGAGCCTTTCAGTCACGCACAGAGACGAGAGAGCTCACAGGAGAGGCAATGATTTGTGCCGCGTGTTCAGTTTGTCCAAAGGACATAAAATACCCGGTTTGCTTTCAGCCCCGTTATCCCTGCCCTCTCCACGGCAGCTGCTGTGACCAGGCACCGCAAGGGAGCGAACAGGGAGGCCAAGCAGAGCCGGCCATGCGGTCCACCTCGTAAGGCCCCAGCCCCCGACGCAGCCCCGGCAGTGGGAGATGGGTGTGTGGAGAGGAACGGAGGGGGATGGTCAGACTTGAAGGCAGGGAAACGCTGGGGCACGGGGTATCCTCGACTTGGCGGGCACCCCCACACAATCCCACCCCTAGGCGTGCCCGGGGCGGGGCGGGGGCGAGGTGAGGGCGACCACTGACGCGGCGTCTAGACTGCAAGCTAAACTTTACATTGAGCTCAAAACTCGATTCTGCAAACGCGCTTTGGCGCCACGCAAGAACGCGGGCGCGCGGCTCCCGGCCGCCCCATCCGTGCAGGGCGCGGGGCTCCAGCCGCCCCGGCTTCCCCGCGCCGCCCCGCAGGCAGGATGGGCGGGGCGGGCACCGCCGCCAGCGCCGCAGATGGGCACGGCGCGCCCGCGCCGGCGCCCGGCCGTGGGCGGGGAGGGGGGCGCGGGAGCAGGTGTCGGCTCCGTGACGGGGCTCCCCCCCGCCCCCGCCGGGGTGCACCCCGCGGCCCAGCGAGGCGAAACCCCGCAAAGGCGGTAGAGATGCAGCGCGGCCGGCCGCCGGGCTCTGCTTCCCCGCTGGACGCACCAGGGGACGGCGCTTGCAAACGCTCCTCTCCCGGCTCAGGCCCCCTGGCGGGGAGCCGCCGCCCCCCCCCGCCCGGAGTCCCGCCCACCCCGCGGCGGCCGAGCCGGGCCCCGCGCCGGGAGCAGGGCGGGGCGGGCATCCCTCCCCGCCCCCACGTGGGGCCGGCCCTCCGCAGTGCCGGGGCGCGCCGCGACCGCGCCTCCGGCTGGGGCCCCGCCCGCGGCGCCGCCCCCCTTCCAGGCCGGGGTGTGGGGTGACAGGAGGGGGTGGGCGAGGGGCGGCGGGGGGGCCGCTCGCTGAATCAGGTGGCGGCGGGGGTTCCCTCAGGCCGGGCCGCGGAACACGCTGCCGGGGATTGTGTACACGCTCCACTGACACAAGCTTCACGCTGCCGGGCAGCCGCTGATCACGCGTGGCCCCGCCAGCCCATTGGCCCGCACCTCACACACCTTTGCTGCTGATTGGCCCGCCGCAGGCTCCGCCCCCGCCCCCGCCCGCGGCGCGGAGCAGGCGGAGCGGCTACCTGAATGGGGAGGGGGCAGACGGCGCGCGGCGCGGCGGTGGCTGGAGCGGCGTCGAGTGTCTCCGGGCGCCCGTCTGTGCCCAGCAGCCCAGACGCCCAGCAGCCAGGCAGCTCGCCGCCGGCCCGGCAGCCAGCCATGCTCAACTTCGGTGCTTCTCTCCAGCCGACTGCGGTAAGTCACCTGGGGATGCCCCTGCCCTTCCCAGCCTCGCCGCGCCCGAGGGGCCGGCGGGCGCGGGTCCGCACCCCTGACATCTGCCGCGCTCGGGAACGGGCTGCCGCGGAGTGGCGGGGGGCGGGGGGCTCCTGGCTGCAGCCTGGGCGCGGGTGAGGGCGCGTGTGCGCGACGCGGGGCAGCGGCGGCCAGCGGGGACCTGGAGACGGGAGCGGGGTTGCGCACGCTGCGGCGGGCAGCGGAGCGGGGGCCCCGCGGGAGACTCGAGGCCATCGGGCCGGGCCGGCCGGGGCCGGGGAGGGGGCTGCGCTGCCCCGGCGGCGTGGATGGGGCCGGCGGGTGGCACGAGGCGGCCGCCCTGCACCTGGCGCGAGGGAGATGCCCCGTCGGGATCGGGAGTGCCACCCGGGGCGCGAGGGGCCGCTCGAGCGCCCTCGAGGGGCGGGGTGTCCAGAGGGGAGCAGAGGGTCCCTCCCGGGTCGGAGCCGGGCGGGCGGCGCGGCGGCTCCGTGCGCGCCGGGGAGGGGGCGTCCTGCGTGGGCGCGGGGACGGCGCGCGGGCCGCGGGGCGGGGGAGGGAAGTTGCGCCCGGGCGTCGGGAGGGGACTCCCCATCCCGCGGGGGCAGGTGGCCGCCTCCCGGGGCGCCTCGGCGGGGGGGCGCGGAGCCGCCTCGGCGTGGAGTGGGGCGCGGGGCCCGGCGGCTGGGCGGCGAGGGCGGGAGGCGCGAGACGCGGGGGCCGCGTGTCGAGGCGGGGCGCGGGGCGTGGGGCCGCGCGTCTGGAGCCGGGGCTGTGGGGGCTGCACGTCTGGGAACGTGGAGACGCGCGCCAGGCGGGGGCCGGAGCTGCCGGAAGCGGCGGGAGGGGCGCCGCGTCTGCCGGGAGCCTCGGGGTGGTCTGAGGTCCCGCGGGCGGCGTGGGCGGGAAGCGCCGCGGGCTGGGCCGGCCCCCGGGGGTGGCGGCCGGCAGGAGGGCGGGGGCTGGGTTTCCGCGGGCGCCCGGCCCCTCCTCCGGCTGCTGAGGCGGAGGCCGGGGGCGGGCCCGGAGCGGGTGCGCCCGGGGAGCTGCCCGTCCCCGAGTGACCCAGCCCCGGCCGCGCCAGGGGCGGGCGCGAGGCCCGGCCCCGCGGTCGGTTCCTAAGGGAACGGCGGCTCGCGGGGAGCTGGAAGGGGCGGGCGCTCCCGGGGCCGGGCGCCCGCCGCCCCGCCCCTCCTCTCCCCGCCCCTCCCCTCCCCGCCCCTCCCGCGGGCCCCGGCGCGCACCGCCGGGCGGTTGGCGGGGTTGGCGGCGCCGCCCGCGGCCCCTCCCCCGGCCGGCGCGAGGGCGGGGACCCGCGGGCTCAGGAAGTAGGTGAAAGGTGACGGCGCGGCAATTCCCAGTTCACGTTTCCTGCGCCGCCCGAGCAGCCGCTGATCACGCTTTGTTCACATGCCTCGCCCCCTCCGCCTCCACGCCCCCGCCCTGCCCGCCAGCCAATCGGGGCGCGGGCCGCCCGGGCGGCCGACCAATGGCGGGGGCCGGGCGCGGGGACGTGCGAGCGGCGAGGAATGTTCCCAGTGAGTCACCCGCGAGCCTCATTGAGGTTAGGGCGGCCCCGTCCGGCGCGCCCCGCCAGCGAGGAACTCCCCCGCCGCCCGCCCCCGCCCCCCTCTGCACCCCCCGCCCCTGCCTCCCCCCGCGCTTCCCCTTCCTGCCTCGCGCCCCGCTCCCCTTCCTCCCCTCCCAGCCGCCCTTCCTGCCCCGCCGGGCTCGCGCCTCCCGGCCCCGCCGCCGCCTGGCGTTTCTCTCGCTGCCTTTCTTTGCACGGGCGTCTCGGGGAGGCTTTTACACACGCGCGCTTACATAAAGGCGCGCGATTATGCAATTGCATTGTTATCGGCGTTGCGAGAGCAATGGCTCCTTTTCTTAGCGTTTCTACACGAGGGGGTTTTGCAGTTTTTAAAAATACGGGCGTTGAGCATAATACCTGGGAACGTGAAGAACGTTATTTTTGCACAATGTTGCCTGAAAGCATGGAATTGCATCGATGGAAAATGGGAGAAATAACGGCTAGTTCCATTTTAAGTGCAGTTTAAGGAACTTGAGTGTGAAGCTTTAAATAATTGCCAGTTGTGCAAACACAAAGCAAGGGCTGTTATTTTTGTCATGAAGCATTTCTTTTTTAAAAAAAAAAATTACGCTTTTGACTCTCACAGACTCCTTAGAGTCAGGGTTATTTCTACTTGCAGGTAGAATGTTCAGTTTTCTGATTATCCATCCTGATTGTTGCATTTCTGGGTCATAATTATGCAGCAAAGACCTGTATTAGACAGATACAGTGAAAAAATAAATTTTACATTTCAAATAAGCTAATAGACTAAAGAGCTAATATAAAAAGTGCAGAGACTTTGCTATGAGGCAAACCATGTTAACGGGCCAGGTCTGTCCACTATACTTTGTGGTTTTGAAAAAAGAACATTTTGAGAGCCTTCACCTAATTAAAATTTGTTCCCAGTTGACTCTTCCAGAAAGACTCTAAAGCGTTTTATTTTCTTCTAAGTCAAGCTCTTCTCTTTTCTGGATCACAAATCTTTGGTAACTTTGGCCTTGGTGCCCCTTTGTGGTAATAAGATGTTCTATTTCATAAGACTTATCAATGTAAGGGGAAGAATGAGGAAGATCTTTAACAGCATTATAACCATCAGAGTAGGGGTGAGAGAGAAATTATTTCAAATTTTAAGTTGAAAGTTGTGGTATTCTTTCATGGTATCTGGATGTCATGTATATATACTCTCTTTCTTTGATAGGAGGAAAGAATGGAAATGATTTCTGAAAGATCAAAAGAGTGTGTGTACTCCTGGAACAAAACTGCAGAGAAAAGTGATTTTGAAGCTGTAGAAGCACTTATGTCAATGAGCTGCAGTTGGAAGTCAGATTTTAAGAAATACATTGAAAACAGACCTGTTACTCCGGTGTCTGATATGTCAGAGGAGGAGAATCTGCTTCCTGGTACACCGGATTTTCATTCGATCCCAGCATTTGTAAGTGTTTTTGTTTTTAAGGTGACTATAAATGATAAAAAATTTTATTTACAATAGTGAACTCTAAATTTCTCATGCTGTTCCCCGTATTTCTCTTTGTAGTGTCTGACTCCACCTTACAGTCCCTCTGATTTTGAACCCTCTCAAATGTCAAATTTGATGGCACCAGCGCCATCTACCGGACACTTCAAATCTTTCTCAGATACTGCCAAACCTCACATTGCTGCACCTCTAAAAGAGGAAGATAAGAACTCAGTACCGGCCCCCAAGCTCCCCAAAGCTCAGGCAACGAGTGTGATTCGTCATACAGCTGATGCTCAGCTGTGTAACCACCGCTCCTGCCCCGTGAAAGCAGCCAGCATCCTCAACTATCAGGACAATTCTTTCAGAAGAAGAACCCACCTAAATGTTGAGGCTACAAGAAAAAACATACCTTGTGCAGCTGTGTCACCAAATAGATCCAAATGTGAGAGAAACACAGTAGCAGATGTTGATGAGAAAGCAAGTGCTGCACTTTATGATTTTTCTGGGAATTCTTCAGAGACAGTCATCTGTAGATCTCAGCCAGCCCCTGTGTCCCCACAACAAAAGTCTGTGTTAGTCTCTCCACCTGCAGTATCAACTGGGGGAGTGCCACCTATGCCCGTCATCTGCCAGATGGTTCCCCTCCCTGCAAACAACCCTGTTGTGACAACAGTTGTTCCCAGCACTCCACCCAGTCAACCTCCAGCTGTCTGCCCTCCTGTTGTGTTCATGGGCACTCAGGTGCCCAAAGGTGCTGTCATGTTTGTTGTACCCCAGCCTGTTGTTCAGAACCCAAAACCTCCAGTAGTGAGCCCGAATGGCACCAGACTCTCTCCCATTGCCCCTGCTCCTGGGTTTTCCCCTTCAGCAGCAAAAGTCACTCCTCAGATTGACTCATCAAGGATAAGAAGTCACATCTGTAGCCACCCAGGATGTGGCAAGACATACTTTAAAAGTTCTCATCTGAAGGCCCACATGAGAACGCATACAGGTACAAACCTTTTCTTTATGTCTTAGAAACGTAAAGTTGTTTTTGGTAGTGATACCAATATAAACCAGGCGCGTTAAGGAAGAACTTGCTTTCTAGCCAATTCAGTGGGCGATGTTTTTCAGTACAAGGTTTTTAAAAGGTTTCATCAACATGTTTTTGTTTTGATTTCTCAAAGAATCTTTAAATATCTGAGTAGTTACTTGATTAAAGTATCTTCAAAATCTTTGTATCATAATGGATGTAAGAAAGCCTTGTATTTGGCTTCTTTTATAAGAGTAAGATTATAAATGTGATAGAAAGTTGGAAATGGAAGTGATACTTGTCTAATGGTCATTTGATAGTTTCGCAACTTTAAAGTGTTTCTTAAGATATAGTTGAATTTAGTAAACTAAAAGTTGTTTTTATTAAATGCATCATAATGATGATCTGAATTTCTTTGCTCTAGGAGAAAAGCCTTTTAGCTGTAGCTGGAAAGGTTGTGAAAGGAGGTTTGCCCGTTCAGATGAACTCTCCAGACATCGAAGAACCCACACGGGTGAGAAGAAATTTGCCTGTCCCATGTGTGACCGGCGTTTCATGAGGAGTGACCATTTGACCAAGCATGCCCGGCGCCATCTGTCAGCCAAGAAACTGCCAAACTGGCAGATGGAAGTGAGCAAGTTAAACGACATTGCCCTACCTCCAACCCCTGCTCCCACACAGTGACATATAGGAAGGTGAAGAATCAGAACTAACTTTGGTCACAGCCAGGAACCAGTGGTTGATATAAAAATTGCTGCCACTGCAGGTTTGTGGCCCTCCAGTGCGGGCTGAAAGCAGAAGCCCCACAGCCTGGGGAGAAGGCCCAGCCTGGGTTATAGGACAAGAAGTGCTGCAGTCACAGGCAGGTCACAGAGTGGCAGGATTCATTTCTTATCACATAAGAGAGATGAGAGCTTTTATTCCTTTAAATATGTTTTGAAGGTTTCAGATAAGGTCAACACAGGTAGCACAGATTTTGAATTTGTGTGCACAATTTGTTACTTTCACCTTTATACTTGAGACCAGCTTTCCAATGTGACTCTTCTAAAGCATTGGTTTCAAGACTATAGAGACTGGAAATAAGCATTACGGTACAGAGATGGAGATGTAAGATCGGTTTGCATTACGATTATTGTCATCTTTTCCTAGAGTTATCTTGTTTACTATTCCTAGTCTTTCCAGTCAACTTCATGGATATAGTTGTTAAAATATAGTTAGAACTAGCATTTTTACACTATTTCTGACATTTGGAATTGAGCAGCTGTATATTGCTAAAGAGGATCCAAAAGAATTGGATTCCTCATTAATTTAATTGCTTTGAAGTGTAGCTATAATTTTTTGCATTTTTGTTTTTGAAAGTTTAACAAATGACCATATCTCGGCATTTTATCACGCTTTGAACTTTAGTTTGCTTGCAGTTTCCTTCTGTAGATTTAAAAGTTGTATACAAATGTGTTTTCTATAGACTCTAAGATACACTGCACTTTGTTTAGGAAAAAATTCAAAGATGAAAATATATATTGTAAAGAAGGGATATCAAGAATTTAGGTAACTCCTTGAAAAAGATGGCTTATGTCATCAGTAAAGTACCCTTATGTTATGAGGATATAATGTGTGCTTTATTGAACTAGGAAGTTAGCGATCATTATTCACAAGTGGACAAATGTCCTGTTAAAATGGAGTTTTGTGGAATTAGGTGGGTAGAAAATAATTAGAACATTCACTTTTGTTAACAGTATTTGTTAATGTTCTGTTGTGTAGTGAATGATATACACAGTGGTAAAACAAAAACAAATTGTTTAAAATACACAGTGAAAAATGTCACCATCTTTTCATTTAATATTTTTCTCTATATTGGATATAGATTCTGCCATCAAAACTTGGACCCTGGGAAAACAAAAGAATTTCCTTTTAATTAAAAAAAATCCTTGTGATTTACAATTTGCACAATATTTCTTTTGTTGTACTTTATATCTTGTTTACAATAAAGAATTTCCTTTGATATATAGCTGGGTGGTTGCATTTGTTGAAATCCATTCTCGAACCTTCACATCGATCACACTAACCTTGTTGATTACTTCTGGTTCTGTCCAAGGGCTTGTTCTCTGAATTTCTCTAAGGATCTCATTCAAATTTAGAACTGGAGTGTATCTTTAATATGAATAAATGCTGAGTAAGCAAAATGAGGCTAGGTATCTCTGTTAAAGTGTGGGTAGTCTACCCATTCTAAGAAACCAGTAAAATTTAATTCTTAAACATTCGTGTACATGGGTTAAAATACAGATCTGGCTCTCAGCAAAACCTTGTTAAACAGCACTAAGTTAAAGGGAACACCACAGTGAATAATTACAAGCAATGAGACTGCTGTGGCAAATGAAAATAAGCCTGACCTATTAGAGAGTAAATTACCTCTAGAAGTTAATTTACCTCCGATCATTAAGTGGTACCTTAAATGCAATAAACATTGGTACTTAAGCTGCATGAAAGGTAATCTGCCTCTGAAATGTTTGCTGGTCACTCATGCGTAGAATGAACTAGGAGCTGTAAATGCTACTTGGTGTACAGAGTGTACTTTTAGAGATTGATATTTTAGTTTGTTCTGAAATTCCTCTGCAACCATGTGCAAACATCCCCCACAGTGTGCAACTTAACCACTGACCTAGAGTGACTCAGTGATAAACATGCATGGTGAGAGGGATGATGTGCTTACTTGGTATCAATCGTGGGATAGACATTCCGAATCATCTGCACCTGTTGATGCTTCTTGGAAACTTGACTGCCTAAGTATACAGATGCTGGAGAGAAGCCTTGCCATTCAGCCTCTGCTGGGACGAGCCTAACTCCCCTAGAGAGTTTTTCTTGGCAGGGTCTTTAGAAGTGGTAATAGGGAAGATGACTGAGTATTCCCGGCTGTGTCAATGCCCAGGCCCTTGTAACAATGGAAATAAGCCACTTTTGGTGGGTGCCTGATGCTTTTCCTTAGAACTATTGTAAATCATGTCGTCTGAATTGAGTAGTCCCTCTTATCCATGATTTTGCTTTCTGTGCTTTAGATTATGTGGAAAGTTCCACAAATAAATAATTCCTAAGATTTAAATTGCATACCACAGACAGCGTCATAAAATCCCGCACGCTTTTGCTCTGTCCCGCCCAGGATGTGATCATCCCTTTAACCAACCTATCCACATTGTGTGGCTTCTGTCCTTAACCGTCTCAGTTACCAGATGCTGTCAAGAGTATAGCGGTGCTTGTGTTCAAGTAACCCTTATTTTACTTAATAATGGCTCCAAAGCATAGGAATAGTGATGCTGGCAATTAGTATATGCCAAAGAGTAGCCACAAAGCGCTTCCTTTAAGTGAAAAGCCGAACCTTCTCAACTTATTAAGGAAAGGACTGGAAATGTATGCAGAGGTAGCTAAAATCTGTGCTAAGAGAGTCTCCTATGTGTGAAATTGTGAAGAAGGAAAAAAGGCGCTGGTTTTGTTGCTGCACCTCAAACTGAAAGTTACCCCCACAGTGTGTCGAAGTGTATCGTCTCACATCACAGGAAGAAAGGTGAGTACAAAACAGGAAGACACTTAGAGGGCATGCATTCACATGACTTTCATCACTGTGTGTTATAATTGTTCTTCATTAGTTGTTAATCTCTGTGCTTAATTTATAAATTAAACTTTTTATAGATAGGTGTGTAAGAGCAGTATTGCAGTGCCAGGAAGGGCACAGGGCAGGATCTCTATGACTCTATGCAGACCGGTAAAGGAGAGTCCTGGAGCCCTCAGCTTTTTCAGGCTTTTATGGAGTTTACCAGGTACCCAGCAGGCAGGGGTGCTGGAGAGGGGGTGGGCAGTGGTGGTTAGAAGGCTGGCAGGCCTCTCAGCCCCCGGCGAATCTTCACTCAGCTCTCCGGTGTTCTCTCATGGTCTTGTTCTCTCTCTTCTACTCTTTGTCTCTCGTTCTCTTCTGCTTTCTCGCTTATCCTCCTGGTTCCATTCCTCTCATAAGCCAGTCTCAGCCCAGGTGTACCCACCTATGCATGCCCACACCCTACTCCAGGTTTCCGGCATCAGGCATGCATTTAATCTAATGGTGGGAGGGCGGAAAAACCTGATACTTTTTACTTACCCTACAAGTATATATAGGGTTTGATACTTTCTGCAATTTCAGGCATAAGGGCATCTTGGAATCTATCTGCCTTGGATAAGGAGGAACTTCTGTGTTATAGTGGGGCTGAATGTTGATGCAGGCTCTGATCTTGATAGAAACATTGCACCCACCAAAAAAAAGTTGCCCCAAAGTACATTGATAGCATATTAGGATAATGTAGTGTTACTGTAGCCTCAGCACTTCAGTTTTGATTGTTCTTGTCTGACATATATTAAAAATAGGAGTTCCCATATACCCTTCATTGAGCTTCCCCCTCTGATAATATCTTTCATAGCCGTAGAACATGTATCGAAACTAAGAAATTAGCCTTATAATACTATTTTTTTTTTTTCTTTTTAAAGATTTATTTATTTATTTATACAAGCACTGGGTACAGTCAGAAGCGTGGGAGGGTGAGAGAATTCACCAGAGCCAGAGCGGGGAGCAGAGCAGGCAGAAGGACTGAAGTACACTGCTGAGGGGAGCAGCGGGCGGCAGGAGAGGTCTGCGCGCCATGCGGGACCCTCCTCCAGTGGCCGGGGAGCAGCCGGGAATCGAACTGGCGCAGCAGAGGCCGCGGGCAGCTTCGCAACCCAGCGCTCAACCGCTGCGCCACCGGGGAGGCCCCTAGCCTTATAATACTATTAACTAAAGTACAGATTGTATTTAGGTTTCACTAGTTTTTCTACTAATGTCTTTTTTCCCCCTATGGTAGGACCTAGTCCGGAGTCTCAAACTGTATTTAGTTGTCAGTTTCCATAGTCCCCTTCAGCCTCTGGTCTCCCTCAGTTTTCTCTTATCCTTAGAACAGTACTTGTAGATTTCTTGTAGAATGGCTCTCAATCTGGATTCGTCCGGTGCTTTTTTCATGATTAGTTTGAGGTTACATATTACTTGGGAAAAGAGCAAAATAATAATGTCCTCCGTGCATTATATCAAGGATTACATGATACCATTCTCTGCTGCTGGTGATGTTAACCAACATCCCTTGGCTAAGGCAATGTCTGCTAAAATTTTCCACTGTAAACTATTTTTATCATTATTAAATATTTGGAGGGAGATACTTTAAGATGATGCAAATAACCTGTTTCTGCTTAAACTTTTGCCTAATCATTTTCCTATTCATTATTAATTGGAACTCTGTAAGAAAGAGTTGTTGCCTCTCCCCCATTTATTAACTTACTCAGTTCTTTATGTTCATATGAACTTAGGGATTTTTATGTCATGCCTTGCATTTTAAGACAATACTTATTTATGACTCAATTGTTCCAAGTTGGCCCTCATTAACTCTTGAACTATTCAATCATTTTTGATCGACAAAGATGGAAATTTTATATGGTTCAACATATCATTTTTTACTGGAATGAGACCTATTTGATATTAGTAATTTGACTTTTAAAAGCTTTTCTCCATCTGCATTGCCACCCCCCTAATCCTGCTTCTCTCACTTAAACAACTGCAGCTGCTCCTAACTCGTTTTCCTACCATCCATTCTCCTCATCATAGAAACTTTTGAAAATGCAAATCTGACCATGTATAGCTTCTGCCCTTAGTAACCACCTCAGTTATTAGACTGTCAGTCTGTGCTTGTGTTCAAGTAACCCTTATTTTATTTAATAAAATGTTAATGAAGTAAAATAATTTACTTAATCTGTTTAAGACATTTCAAAAACTTCCCAAAACTCTCAGGATAAAGTCTTAATTTTTTTTTTTCATGGTCTGGAATAATGCTGTCTAATAGAAATACAGTATGAGTCACATATGTAATTTGAAATTTTCTAGTATTTATATCAAAAACCTAAAAAAAAAACCCTAGTTTTAATACTTTAAATTAACTGTATCATAAATAAAATATCCCAGTATATAATATAAAATATAATATAAAAATTTTAATGAGATAAATCACATGTTTTTGTGCTAGTCTTCAAAATTGACCATAGTCAATATGCTTATAGCCCATCTAACTGGGACTAGCCACATTTCAAGTGCCCGATACGCACGTGTGTGGCAAGTAACTAATATAATGTACTGGGCTGATCTAGAAGGCCCTGTTCCATTAGGTTTCTACCAACCCCCCACACTACTTTCCTCCTTTATATGGTGTCCAAGCACTGAAACTTCATATATGCTACTTTTAAATATATATATTTATTTATTTTTAAAGATTTATTTATTTATACATACAAGAACTGGGGTACAGGCCAGATGTGTGGGAGGGTGAGACGATTCACCAGAGACAGAGTGGGGAACAGAACTGGCAGACTGACTGAAATACACTGCTGAGGGAGCAACAGGCGAGACAGGTCTGCTGCGCCATGTGGGTATCTCCCTAGCTGGTGGGATTGAACCCGCACTGCAGAGGCTGCAGACAGCTTCATAGCACTGTGATCAACCGACTGCGTATATGCTACTTTTTCTGGAAGTTTTCCCCTGCCCTTATTACCCTTGACATTTCCACTTTTATCATAATCATTGCCCCTTATTAAAATTGCTTGTCTGTCTTTTTCCCCATGACTCTAAAACAGCAAGAGGGCAAAGGCCTGTGGGTCTTGCTAATGCTGTTATCATCAGCATCTAGCACAGTGCCTGACACATAGCAAGAGATCACTCTTAGGTTTGTCACACTGCAAATTGAACCAAGAGGAGATCTGTGTGACTTGTGGGAGGGAGAATAATTAGGAAGTTGTCACCTGACACACAGGTTTCACACAAAGGTGATGAAAAGCTGAAGACCGCCTTTTTTCTTATTCCCCTCCATCTATGCTGGTACTGGCAGGACCGTTTACTATACCTTCCAATCTCTTCAAGAGTCTCATGGCATTTAGTTTCTATTGACTGCATTTTCAACAGGGCAGGG